GAGAGAGAGAGAGAGAGAGAGAGAGAGAGAGAGAGGAGGTGTTCCGAGAATCGAAAGGCCGAGAGAAGGCGGAAGAAGGAACGAGAGAGGCACGAGAAGAAGGACGAGGAGTCCGCAGACAACAAAGGGCGGCCTGAGGAGGAGGAAGGATTTTGGAGAGGAGAGTTGTGATGATTTTTTTTTTTTTAATTAAAATCGATAATCGAGCCCACGATGAAGGAATATACGTAGAATATATTGTTAAATGATGGGTAATAAATATTTCAAAAATGAATTTGATCATAAGTGATCACAATTTCATTTTTGAGATTTTTTAAAATTTAAAATTGAATAGAAAATTTAGTTTGTTTAATTGGTATTATTTGAGATAATGAAATTCGTTAGAAGTAATTTTTATTAATTACTGTAATTGATTCAAAAGATCTCGATTCTTTAAATTTTTAGACGTTTAATGAATTTTGAAAAATAATTAATTTTTAATTATTAATTCAATTTAAGAAATATTTGAATGAAGTTGTAATAAGTATAAATATATCGATTGAGTCACAGGTACGATAAAATATCGTAGAATATATATATCTTTCTCTCTTTTTAAACGAAATAAGAAATCGAAAGTGTAACAATTTTCTAATTCGAATCGCGTATAATAATTTACATGAAAGAACGAGGGAAGGAAAATGGGAAATTAAATTAAAAATCAGAGAATCGACCTCCTCGTAGAGTTACGTTGCAGAGAAGAAGAAGAAGAAGAAGAAGAAGAAGAAGAAGAATTTTAATTTCGTGTAAAAAGTGTATTTTTTTTTTTTATTAAAACAGATCGATAAGTCACAGAATTGTAGATAAAAGATCGTATAATGTGTATATATCTCTCTTTAAACGAAATATTTAATTATATTTAATTATAAAATTTTAAATAAGAAATCGAAAGTGTAACAATTTTCTAATTCGAATCGCGTATAATAATTTACATATGGAAGAACGAGGGAAGGAAAATGGACTATTAAATTAAAAATCAGACAATCGACTTCCCCGTAGAGTTACATTGGAAGAAAGAAGAAGATGAAGAAGAAGAAGAATTTTGATTCCATGTAAAAAATATATATATATATTTTTTTTTATTAAAAGATCGATAAGTCATAGAATTATAGATAAAAGATCGTATAATGTGTATATATTTCTATTTTTAAACGAAATAAGAAAGTGTAACAATTTTTTAATTCGCGTATAATAATTTACATATGGAAGAACGAAGGAAGGAAAATGGAAAATTAAATTAAAAATCAGAGAATCGACTTCCCCGTAGAGTTACATTGGAAGAAAAAAGAAGAAGAAGAATTTTGATTCCATATAAAAATTTTATAAAAAAAATATTTTTTTTTTTTTTATTAAAAGATCGATAAGTCAGAGAATTGTAGAAACGATAAAAGATCGTATAATGTGTACATATCTCTCTATTTTTAAACGAAATAAGAAATCGAAAGTGTAACAATTTTTTAATTCGCGTATAATAATTTACATATGGAAGAAGAAGGGAAGAGGGGTGGGGAGTTTCGTGACGAGGGGAGGTTATGGAAAATGAAATTAAAAATCAGAGAATCAACTTTTCCGTAGGGTTGCGCGCTGGGCTGGCTGGTTTTAAAGGGGTGTAATTGCGGGAAATAAAGTTTCGAATTGGCCAGATAAGATCGTGCTGCGACAAACACACATGCACACATATATATATATATACAGGAATAACTTTCGTTATCGGCGATGCACGAGCCATTAACAATTAGTGGTCGCGTGAAAACGGCCAATCTACGTATACCTATGTATACAGATGGCGTGTTCTACAAAACACCCTTTTTCTTTGTCGCTTGACCGAGAAACTACGATTTCTTCGTGAAAGAATCCTTCTTTCTTCCTTTTTTTTCCCCCTTCTTTTCCCTTCCACAAACGACGAATTTATTCCAATAGCGAAACGAAATGATCGAGGATACGATTATATCACGTTCTCTGATCTTTCGAATTCCAGGAAATGATATATTTTTCCGTGAAATTAACGAATTAAAAATCAAATATTCGAGTATCCTATTTTAATCCATCATTTTTCCATGTGAAAATATGTATATTCCAAAGATATATATATTCTAATATTATTATGTTTTCTGATCTTTCGAATTCGAAGAGACGATATATATATGTATATTCCAATAGCGAAACGAAAAGATCGAGAATACGATTATAT